ATGTGGGATCTTCCCGGACCGGGGCACGAACCCACGTCCCCTGCATCGGCAGGCGGACTCTCAACCACTGCACCACCAGGGAAGCCCAACACATTTATTTAAAAAAAAAAAGGGAATGGGACAGGCAGCCTCCTCTGGCATTTTCTTCCTCTGCCTTTAAAGATAAAATTCCAAGGGCTATCTTGAATCGTGCTCTTTTAAGAACTAACTCCAGGGGTTTTATGAAGGGCCTTAAAGAACATGGAATTTTTTTTTAAGGAAATATTATGGCCAAGAAGAATTTGCTGAAAAGGACTGGGAGGGAAAGGAACAAAGAAAGGTTATCCTACATAATATAATCTGGGACAAAGCCTGTGAGCATAAACCGTGGTTTAATAAAGCTAATGCAGGGCTGTGTTAAAACTGTCTGGTTCATCTTAACTTAAACAAGAGTCCAGCCTAGATAAAGTGACCCTGAATTAGTTGGGATTCTATTTAGCTGCATATAACAGAAAACCCTATAGTAATAGTGTCTTAAATAAGATAGTTTATTTCTATGACATATAAAAGAAGGTCAGAGAGAGGTAGTCTAGGACTGTTACGGTAACTACATGTGTCATCAGATACATAGGTCACCTAAGACAGCTGCTGGAGCTCCAACCATCACATCTTCATTCCAAATAATCAGGTGGCAGGTGGGGTGGGGAGAGAAAGGCACACTCCTCCCTTTTAAGGACACCTTCCAGGAGCCGCACACAACACTTTCACTTATATACCATTGGCGAGAATTAGTCACATGGCTACAGTTCTTAGGAAGGCAAGGAAATGCAGTGTTTTAGTGAGGTTCACTATTGTCCCAAATAAAGTCAAGGTGTGGGATTCGGCAAGCAGCAGTCACTGAGACAGAGCCCAAAATGGGAAAACTTTGGAAAAATTACCTTAGGCATTCTGCCAAGTTCCCCCAATATTTTGTTCACAGAAGTATCAAACTTCTGTCTAATGTTGGGTTTCCCAACAATAGATCTTAAGACAAGGAGATGAATGTAAGTACTAGTCAATTCAGGAGGTGATCCCAGGAAGCATGGTGGGAGAATAGGGAAGTGAGTCAAAAAAAGGAGGGAAGCCCATAAAGAAAATCACTATTAAGAAGATAACTGCTATGGGAAACTGGGGTTCAATCCCTCTGGAGAATTCTGGAAGATAATGTAGAACACCCCTCAGATTGATCCCAGCCAGCCACCCCAGTCATTGGTTGAGAGTTGCATGTGAGGGTATTAAACTCCCCAGTGCTTGTCACTTGCCTTGTCTTGCTCCTCTGCTTGAGTGGACTCCTGGGGCCAGAGCAACGCTCAGGCAAAGAGTTGAAGATGCTTGTGGTTGGAATGGGGTTAGCATGCAAAGGGTTGGTGAGTGTCAAGGGGATATGAGCTTCCGTTATAAACGTTTGAATATAAAATATTCCTTTCCTCTTTTCCTTACCAAATAAACACCTCAAACTAAATGATCTTCTCCCAAGACGAATCTCAAATGACAGGCAGCAAATATATTAGCTTAGACCAATAAAATGTGTTCTGTCTGAATTCTACTGAACTATTTGAACCCAAATAAAGCCTTCCCGATGACCCTCCTGCTCTTAGCTTTTTCAACACATATAATTCAAGCTATATAATTTAGCTCACTCAACAGTTGTTCGCTAATTTTAAATCGTATCTCTCCCGGATTTGTAAGAGTTTGTAAATTCTTTGAGGGAGGAGCCTATGTTATATAGGCATACATACCCCTAAGCACCCAAAACAGTGCTCTTGAGCATCCAATAAATATCTGTCAGTTGGTTGACTAATTAATTGATTAGGAAGAAAAAGAACCTAAATAAGGATGCTGCAAATCCCAGAGGAACTTCGGGTCATGTTCCCCCACTATCTCTAGGGAACTTTGCTGACATGGGCCTGTGTGCACGAGGGGCTCCACATTTTCTAAATTAGACCTCTAGAGAATACATAGGAAAGAAAGAATACTGGCATTTTAAGCCCTTAAAAAATGGAGCTATACATTCATTCTTATTAATCAACTAACAAGTCTTTATTGAATTAACTACATACCAGACAGAATGGGAAATAGATATGGTCCCTGCCTTTAAGAAGCTTACCATCTAAACAGGACAAACTTTAAAAAAAAAAAATTCTAATCATTAACATTCTGATTTTATGTATTGTAGTTTTTAGATCTGAGCTGGGCCTGTTCTTTGCATCTGGGTTTCTAGTTAAGATATGAGACTCCTCTGCATGTGGTCTTATAGCAATGTCCTTTCCTTGTTAGATGCTTCCATGGGTTCAGTGTTGTTGTTTTTTCCTACACCAACAGGTGATTCTCTATGAGGAGGAAATGGGAAATCATAATGAGAACACAGGGGAGAAGCTCCATTTGGCCCAGGAGCAACTCACCTTGGCCAAGGACAAAATCCTCTCCCTAGAAAGGAGCTTAAACCTCTACAGGGATAAATACCAGACATCCCTGAGCAGCATCGAGTTACTGGAGTGCCAAGTGAAGATGTTGGAGGGGGATCTCAGCAGGATCGTCGGTCAGGTAGGACTTAAACCAGACCACTCAGACCAGGAGCTCCCAGGTGGTCCCTGTAACAGTCCCAGCCTCTCTGCCAGAAACCCAATCCTTCAACCAGTTGTCATTCCTTCCCTTGAATTTTGTAGCCCTCAGCTTTGAACTTCCAGCCTTCACATCTCCTGTAAGATTGCTCTTTAGGAATTTTAAGACTCCTTAATTAATTTAAGGAGCCACAACTTCAAATAAGGCAGAAAGTGAATTACCAAATGAGCTCTCAAATCTTCCATGTTGCCACAGGGGTCCGGCAGGGGGCTATTCCAGGTCACAGGACTCATGGAAACCATAGCTTCAGGATCAAATAGGAGGAGAAAGCCACAAAGCATAGCAAAGAAGTGACTGAACTTGTTTCTTTTTTCTTTCAATTGCTTTTTTTTTTTTCTTTTCTTTTTTTTTTTTGCCATATGTGGGCCTCCCACTGTCGTAGCCTCTCCCGTTGCCGGACGCGCAAGCTCAGCGGCCATGGCTCACGGGCCCAGCCGCTCCGCGGCATGCGGGATCCTCCCGGACCGGGGCACGAACCCGTATCCCCTGCATCGGCAGGCGGACTCTCAACCACTGCGCCACCAGGGAGGCCCTCAATTGCTTTTTAAAATTACACAAGTAATACAACAATATAGGCTCTCTAGACAGAATTATGGAGATTAAATGTAAAAGTCCACCTTCAGGCTTCTTCACCCCACTCTCCTGCCCCTAGGCAGTCACCCGAAATGTTCTGGCAATCTTCCCCATCCTATTGCTATTGAAAAAGTTAGAGTTTTCTTTTTACATAAATGAGTCATTTTATAAATATGGTTCTACACTTTGCTTTTTAAATGTATATCTTGATGATTTCTTCTAGTTACTACCTTGTATTCTGTAGTATGACTGTACCCTGTACCATCTACTGACCTGTTTGTCTACTACAGACAAGGTGTAAATGAACATCCTTATCTCTACGGGGTTAATTCCTGAAGTGGGATTTTGCTGGGTCAAAGGAAATGCTTATTTTTAATGTTTAAAGATACTTCTAGGGCTTCCCTGGTGGTGCAGTGGTTGAGAGCCCGCCTGCCGATGCAGGGGACACGGGTTCGTGCCCCGGTCTGGGAAGATCCCACATGCCGCGGAGCGGCTGGGCCCGTGAGCCGTGGCCGCTGAGCCTGTGTGTCCAGAGCCTGTGCTCAGCAACAGGAGAGGCCACAACAGTGAGAGGCCCACGTACTGCAAAAAAAAAAAAAAAAAGATACTTCTAAATTGAACACCAAAAAGGTTCTACCAGTTTACACTTTTACCAACAATAATTTCACTACATTCACAGGGTATGTTTTCAGTCTTTTTATGTTGTGCTAAACTGATGGATGGGGAAAAAAACAGATTTTCTCATTTTCTCAATTTTTATTGCCTTTAGTTCTAATAGCTGTGGGTTGGGTTCCCCAGGAAACAGACTCTGAGACAGACTAGTATGCAGGACGTTTTTAGAGAAAGCTCTTAGCATCAGCATCTGTGAAGGGGAAGGAAGTAGGGTTGGGCAGATGGAGAAGCTGGGCTCTGGTGGTCCCAGCCAAGGCCTCAGCCAACCTCATGGGGAGCTCTGGGGCTGGAAGGACTTTTAGAGCGATTCTAAACTGGGGAGAAGGGAGCTGGCCTTTATAGCTCCATGTTGATCAGTGATTGGATGTGAGCTGTCTTCCTAGGGAGAGACATGACCTTGGGCAAAAGTTTTCTTCAGCCCAGGCAATCCCCAAGAGGGCTGACAGCTGAGGCTATCTTAGGGCATCACCCCCAGCAGCTGGAGGAGTAAGTCCTTCACTGCTGAAGGGGATCTGGGAGGCCCATCACAGCGCCCACCTTGTGAATGAAGTAGTGAGCCTGTTCATAAGTGTATCAGTCCTGTGGATTTCTGTTTTACGAATCGCTTTTAAATCCTTAACCAATTTTTTATTGGGTTGTTAGTCTTTTTTGTGTTGACTTATAGGAGGTTCTTAATATATTACAGGTAATAATGCTTCATTATATAAGTTATAAATATTTTCTCCCAGTTTGTAGCTTTACATTTTCTCTTATTAATGGTATTTTTCAACATACAAAACTTTTTAATTTTTATGAAGTTAAATCTCTTAGCTCTTCTTTATAGATTCTAGGTTTTATGTCTTCTTTAGGAAGGCCTTCACTACCCTCAAAATTGCAAACGTTTATATTGTCTTCTAGCACTTTTTAAAATTTTATTTTATTTTATTTATTTATTTTTAGCTGCGTTGGGTCTTCGTTGCTGCGCGTGGGCTTTTCTCTAGTTGCGGTGAGCGGGGGCTACTCTTCGTTGTGGTGTGCGGGCTTCTCATTGCGGTGGCTTCCCTTGTTGCGGAGCACGGGCTCTAGGTGCACGGGCCTCAGTAGTTGTGGCACGTGGGCTCAGTAGTTGTGGCACATGGGCTCTAGAGTGCAGGCTCAGTAGTTGTGGCACATGGGCTTAGTTGCTCCACAGCATGTGGGATCTTCCTGGACCAGGGCTCAAACACGTGTCCCCTGCGTTCGTAGGCAGATTCTTAACCACTGTGCCACCAGGGAAGCCCTAGCACTTTTATAATTTTGTATTTTTATGTTTTTAGCTTTAGTCCACCTGGAATATACATATACATATATATATAATGCACACACACATATATATATATTTTATAATGACCTACATTATAGGTCACCTATATTTTATAGGTGACCTATAATGTAATTTTATAATTACATAATGAGAGTATCATCTTACTGTTTCCTAACTTTTTTATTGTTTTCCATTCCTTTTTCCACATAGACACTGAATTATTTATACACTTACGGGCAGCTTTCATGCTCAGTGAACATGAACTATTTCTAACTTTGCCTGAAAAAGCCCAGTTAGGGAGACAGTTAATGGAGAAAGTATCTACCATCCAAACTAGGACATTTTGCTCTTTTTTGCCTGTCTGCATCAGTTCACCCCATTATCAGTGCAGACCAGTGAACAGGTAGTAACCTTCATGCATGATTTCAGATGATCTAGAGAAAGACATTTTTTAAAAAAAACACACTTCTAGGAAAACAGCCATATTCATGTTGATGAGAGTGTCAATTGGTATGTTTTCTTTGAAGGACAGTTGTGCAATATCAAAGTTTTAAATAGATCCAATTTAAATAGATTACTCCTTCTACAAATTTAATCTACACATAAACTAGAAGAGGTACTCAAAGATTTATGTGCAAAAATATTCATTTCAGCTTCATTTTAGAAAAAAAACTTGGAAGCAACATATATTCCCATCAATAGAAGACTGGTTAAACATATTTAAAAGCAATTTAAAAGAGCAAGATAAAAGCACATGTACTAACATGGATAAATTTCTAAGGCATCTTGTTGAGAAAAAAAAGGTTTCAAAAAGACAAAATAATATATGTATTCTACAATATTCATTTATATGTATGTAAATGTATAGATAAAGTTCTAGAAGGATATGCACAAATTGTCATCTCTGGAGAATGCAGCAAGTATGGGATTAGAGAAATTTAGACTTGCCTGTAATATTACAATGTTTTAGAAAGATTATATATATATATATATGTGTGTGTGTGTGTGTGTGTGTGTGTATTACTCATGCAGTTTGAAATTAATTTTAAAAGAAGAGTAAGATAGATCCACAAATAGCAATATGGAAAATATCCCAAATAAATTGCCAAGTGAAAACACAATGTTTAGAATAGTATGCAGAAGACTTTCATTTGGTAGGGGAAGAGTAGGGGGTTATATACTTATACATATATGCATATATAAATATGCATAAATTATCCCCAGAAGGATATACAAAATACTGGTAACACAGACCGTCATGGAAAAGGGGACCTGTGTCATGGAGGGTCAAGACTGACTTTTCAGTGTATTCTCTTGTGAACTCTTTGAACTTTTTACTGTGTGTGCCCTTAATTTTTTTCTTTTGTTAAGGAAGCTGTGATTCACATATATGAATATAAACTTTTAGAATACAGGTCTAGAGATTTTCCATGCTCATGGCATTCTGAAATTGACTCAAAAATTATGAACAAAATCAACCTATTATTTTTAAATATCCCAGGAGCCCAAGAGTAATGGTGATCATTCAAAGGTGCATATATACACCTCTCCCTGCATGATTCAAGAGCATCAGGAGACCCTGAAACGACTATCTGAAGTCTGGCAGAAGGTCTCTGAACAGGATGATCTAATAAAGGAACTTCGAAATAAGCTAGCCTGCAGTAACGCTTTGGTAAGTGTCTCCTTCTAGAACATTTTCCCAAGAGACCCAAAATAAAGCCATGAGGAAAGAG